TGAAGTTCACAGTCGCCGTCTTAGGCCCACCTCATGAGGACATTCCAAATCCATGATCTTCACAGCAAAAGGAAAAAGCAAAGTAGCTGCTTCAAACACCACAATTATTCTATGTGAGTTAAATTTCCTACTTCAGATCACAGTACTACACACTAGTGACTAACAGCCAGGTCTGATTTCCATCCCCTTTTTATCTTTTGGAAAAAACACAGCACACAGATTGCCATTTTTTTTGCTTTCTGCTGATGACCATGGAGTGGGGACGTGAGGAGTCCGTGGTAGACACTGGCTCTCCTAGAATTGCTTTTGCAAAGAACACCACATGCTGTCAACACAGCCAAACAGCTTTATAACTGCAGCTTTTAAGAGTATGGAAAGTAAACACAAAATATGTAACACATCTAAGATTAGCAACATTTTCACTTTGTGACATTTGACAAAATACATTTTTGCTTGTAGTTCAGGAAAATTCTATGCAGACAAAACAGTGGAAGCTGCGGAAAAGGGTGGCCGTTCAGCTTTTGGTTAAAGCATCGATTTTTCAAATACAGCGTTATGGCCACTAACACCGAAGAGCTAATAAAATTTTGTCACTACCTGTAGGACAACATTTTGCTCTCCCATTTGCTATGGATGTGACCCCTAGTCCAGTCAATGAGAGGTACCAGGATTCAGAACTCTGCAATGTTTCATGAGGAAAAGTAATGGAAATGGGCCACACGATGGGCCACAAGAAGCATGTTTTCCAGCTCCTTCCGGTTCCTGTGACGTTCACAGATCTGGAACAAAGACCTCTGAGGGAACATCAACTTCCCCACATCTGCTAGTTAGTATTCCACACCTTTACAGAGGACTAAGAAATTGCAGCGAAAATGGCAAAAAGGAAAAATAAAAAAAAAAAAAAAAAGAAAAATAAGCACATGGAAATGTCTTCTAACATTTTGAAATCCACAGGTCAATTGTGCCGGAAGTTTGGCAAGTGGAGAATATGATCTAAAACCAATTACAGATGGTCCCCGACTTATGGTGGTCTGACGTTACTATGATACAGAGGTGATAGGCATTCAGCAGAAACCATACTAGCGACTCTGAATCTGGATCTTTTCCTGGGCTAGCGATACCTGGGTTGACCATCTCAGGCTGTTGGCTGTGCAGACCCCAGTCAGCCCCAACAACTAACCCAGCAGCAACCATTCATGAGATTTTTCAACATTTCATTACAAATGAGCCTTTGTGTTAGATGATAGTGCCCAACTGGAGGCTAATGTCAAGTGATCTGAGCACCTTTGAGTTAGGCTAGGCTAAGCTCTGGTGTTGGGCAGGTTAGATGTAGTTAAGTGTATTTTCGACTAACGATATTTTCAACTTCCGATGGGTTTATGGGGATGTGACCCCATCAAAAGTTGAGGAAACTCTGTATACCATTTTCATATTCCACCTTTGCTTATGAATTATGATGTTGAGAATTTTTCTCAAGGAAAACAGATGCAATAAATTCCAGAACTTTTAATCCAAAGAGAACCCTGTTTTAGTCCTCTGACTTAATAACCCCTCTCAAAGTCAACTGAAAGAAAAACGTAGGGACCATGGTACCGGAGAACACCTGCAGCTGGAGATAAAAATAATAAAAAGAGAGAAAATTTCCCCTCTTTAGAGAGAATTGTGTCAATTCCTATTCATCTCTTACAAAAAGGCCAATAAAATTTTTGTGGGAGTACAGCTGAGTTTTACGAGACTTTCTGCACTGGTAAATGAAGTTTGCATTTAAATCCGTAGAGTGAGCTTCCTTTTGGCTTAAAGGATTTTAATGTAAACCAGTAAGACTGCACAAGCAATGTTGTAAAAACTGAAAATTAGCTTTATGATGCGGCGGCAGTCTGGTACACCTGTGAAGTGCACCATTTTGGTGGCATAATTTGAAGTCCTGTTTAAAGCATGACCGTTAGACTTAAATGCCTTTGAGGACTGAAAGATTTGGCAGTAAGTGGGATATTTTGTAAAAAATTTTTAAGTAACCTACCAAGTATTAAAGCCCACTTTTAATGTCTTGGTTCCTTCTACACTAGGACAAGAAGACTTCTAAGGTAAGCACGTGTACTGGCAAGTGAATCTCTTTCTAGAAGGGCATTTGTGTTGTGATGGGAAACCGTTAAAATAGAACAAGGGCCTAGGTCACAGCGAGTAACCACAAGTTCAAGTGTCAGCGAAGTCTATCTGATTTGTGATTTCCGCTCCTCCTGACACCCCTATCCCCCCAACCGTGTCTGAACATCTCACAAACATGGGTTCTCTTTGGCATTCTATTGTAAAGTACGGTCCTGACATGCAACGGCCACAGAATTTCATACATTTCTGTAGAAATCCTATGTAGAAGTCTAACAGAAATAAGAGAAATGAAAAGAGGGAGCAAAATGGACTGAAAGATGGATTTGAACCTTAGGCTGAAGTCAGCCGTGAATCATGTTAATGCTTCCTTTGTTGTGCAGTATGTTATGATGGTCACATGCATTTATAAACACCCAGGTCAAAAAAAAAAAAAAAGTCCATGGGAGGAAATTCTAGAGGTTGAGGAATTAATGATAATCTCTTATCTTAACTTAAGCTAGATTCTAGGGAAAATCTTGAAATTTTTCATTTGTTTTAAGATATAAAAAATGTATCAGATCTAAAAGACCTGTGTGGATTCACAGAATATATAAAGCAATGATAAGGCCAATTAGAAGGGAAGAGCAAAAAAGGATAGGATGGTTTTAAAACAAAAATCCTCCACGACAGAAGCTGACAAAAGTGTTCCATAATGTGTTTTCTACAAGTGATCATTAAACAGTCAATGCAGATGCTTTCTGTATCACACTGTGCCAGTCAACTCTCTATTTTGGGTGACTGACCATCTACTTCAACTTCTTGCTCTTCCAGGAATGTTAGCAAGGGTGTCAGATGATTTACCCTCTCATGCCTTCTCTTCATTGCTCTCCAGAAGGAAATAACAAGTAGAGCACATTAGCAAAAGGGTCTTTTCCTGCTCTACAGTGATCTAGAGATGGTATTTTGAAAATATGCTCAGCAATTCTAGGACGGTCTGTTCTATGCAATATGCCTTTGGTTCCTGAGAAAAGCAAGATGCTTTTGAATTTCATGTGGCAAAGCCTTCCATCCAATACGGGGGTCCATATATACCACACGTTAGAGACAATGGCTAACACATTCAAGAGTTCTTAATGCCTTACCCATGGTATCATAAATTCCACCTATGTCTAGGTCTTTTTCACTTCGGTGGAGATTTATATATATATGTATGTGTATATATACATACATATATATGTATATGTATATATATACACACACGTATATATACACACACACATATATATATAATTTTTTTTACAGAGGACTTACAAAAACTTTTTAAATTGACTGTATCCCCATTGCCAAGTACTCTCCAACTCCCCCATTCCCTGACTATATTTTATTCTAATGTAGCCAACCTCTAAGTAGCTGATCAGCCTTATAGTTAATCTAGGTCCTTGACCTTGCTTGTCCTGATTGTGGACAGCTAATTAAAACATCCACCAGAAGATGAGCAAGAACAGATCTGTTCATCTTTAGTCTACCAGGACATTTTGTCAAAAATGATGTAATAGGATAAAAGATGGACTACAATGTTAAGATGGGGTTCACGAATTCTCTGTGGACTTCAATTCTCCACAATATCATTGCCTCTATAAAAAAAAAAAAATCTTAAAGCAATAGTCCTATGTTCATGGTCCTGTAGAGAAAGCGTACTTGGTGAGGTTGAATAATCAGAGCTCAAAAGCTTCCTGAACAATGCATGTGGTTTCTGGGACACTGTGGTAGACTTATTCCTCACGTCTATTTACTCATATCATTTAGACCAAAGACTAACTGCTAATTTTCCAAGAGGCAAAAGGAGGATGCCCTATAGTCCTACGGAGAGATTTTGTGATAACACAGTACAAAGAGGCTAAAAAGTTTCAAGAACCTGGACTGAAAAGTTGAGCAGAACCCCTCATCCCCTTATAACAATGTTTAGAGACTGGGTCAACACCTCCATCCTAGAATTGCAGCTTATCTGAGGCCTGTGGCGTCTGTAGTCCCTGTCTTTCCCTGGGCTCGATTTGACCGCCCCCCCCCCCCCAATCCACGTCGAGCTCTGTTCTAATAGCACTCTGCAATTCGACTGGCTTAGCTGGGAATGGAGGATTCTGCTTTGTTGAATTAGGAGAAGTAAATTTCCATATTGAGTTTAACTATGCTCGGAAACCGGGTAAGGAAGGGGTAGAGAGAAGGTGGGCATATTTGTCTCGGGGAGAAAACGAAGGTGGCGTACAGCGCAAGAACTAGTTTGTGGTCCGTCCCACCTTCTGATCTTGTTTCCGTTAAGTGGCTAGGATACATGGGGAATCGGTGCTGGTGTGATGAACTCAGAATCTAGATTCTAAAGGCCCTCCTTGACGTTACCGAAGTCCTGCACATGGGCTGGACACCCCGTTTCACTTCGCAAAGCTGGTTTTACATAATTGCTGACCTCACGGATGCCAGTTGGGAGACAACCCTGACAATCTGGTACCAGAATCAGCTGGCCCTTTGGGGCACCTCACTAAAAACCTGTTTCAAAACCTGCACGATTCACTCTCTGCCTTCCTGACTTTATCGTAGCTCACCTTTTCCCCACAGTTAATTTTCTCTAGCTATGCCCTCACTTTTATCCTCCCCACTCCAAAGCTGAGAAAGTTCATCAAGCGTTCGCCCGAGTGCAGATTTACACGAGACAGGAGAGCCCTCTTATGTTCAAGAGAGCTTGTACTTTTCCCTATGAACATATTATACCTATATAAAATTCAGTTTCTTCAACCAGGGATTCACACTGATTGTAAATGAATGCTGAATTCTCCAAATGCCACTGGGCAGAAAGCTGCCTCTTTCCCATCTGAAGCAAATGTCCCGAAGCTGGCCGTCACTGTCTCCCGAGTGATCGCGGACTAGAGTCCATTTTGCCTGCTGTAGTTGAAGTCGGCTTCATCGAGCTGGGATTCTGTAATGTTTGAGAGTTTCGTGTGTGTCCTCCCAATCTCTTCAAGGGCACAGGCCAGGGAGTCAAGATCACCATCGTGCTGATGACGAGCTTCCCACAGGTTCAAAATGACAGCAGATGGACTACTTTGTGTAGCAAAATAAGATAAATTCCTAGACAGAGAAATTTAAACAAAGAATAACGAAAATGAAAACACAAATAAAGGCACAAATAAAACATTTTAAGGGAATTAAAAATGAATTGCAATGGATATTCTTACAGTAGGAATGGAGGTTAATGGGAGCTAGTTACAGGTCTCCAAATGACCTTGGGATTGCTCGGATTCGATATCTCTCCACCTCCTCAAACTCAACGTCGCAGAAATGGTTATCTTTCCTGTGCCTCCAAATTGGCCTCCTTTGTAACTATAACAAGTATCCCAGTAATTACAAATGTCCTTCTAATTTCTCATACTAGGACATTTATTTTTGACTTTTCCTTTTATGTTACTGCTTTCTTTTTGACATGCTAAGTCTTCCTTTGCCCTTTGAGCCATTAATGCTGGCTTGGGTAATACTTTGCTTCTTGCTTTCATTCGATCTATTCTCTCCACTTCCTCTCTTTACTGTCTGTTTCTCAAGATCTTACTCTCCCGTAATGCCTGGTTCAATTCTCCTCTACTCTTTGCTCAAAATGCTTTATTTCTTCTCTGAATTCTATTGTTGTGCTTAAATTTTCATATGAATAAACTGCTTACATATTCCATGTGAGTTTTGCCCACCCAGCAGGATTACAGACACTTGAAGGGAAAGGATCATAGCTAATCATCTTATGATTCTGCAACAGTCCTTATCTAATACTATGACAGGTGTTTATTCAATATCCATTGTCTTGAGTAACTGATTGCTATGAGCCTTTTTCAGATGATACGGGATCTTCAGTGACAACAAATGGTAACCTTTTGGACAATGACTTTGCTATGATGAAGATTAAGACAACACAAAAGATTAAAGGTCACAGTTTTCATAGGCACTTTTACAGCAGGGATAGAAATGTCACCTTTGGTAAAATTTTGATAAGTTGAAAAGATTTTTGAGAGTCAACCAAAAATTGCCTATTTTGAGACTGGCACCATTTTTCTTCACCACATTCAGCATATAATCACAAAGTAGACTCATGTAACTAAGAGCACTTGGAAGAGAAGACAAGCTTTTAAGGGCACATTACCATTTACAAGCACCACACACACATACAGTAATTTTGACTGAATAAAGTGCTATTTTTATTCAAAGGTCTCAAGGGACTGCTTAAAGCTAGTTGGTTGCCAAATAGCATAACTATCAGGGTACTATTATATACTTTCTACTACATCCGAATCTGTAATTGAGAGCGGGAGAAGGCCAGCTTAAAAATGTTCTCTCCGGTTTCTCTTATCTTTTTCCTTATCCCCCCCCCCCCCCCCCCCCCCCCCCCCCGTCCAGCTGCCCCTTCCCCTCACTTGAAATCAAATATAGTTATTTATTTCTATACTAATGGAAATGGCAAATCAAACCTTGCTTGGGCAATTGAAGGGATCCTAGTTCTTTTTAAGAACTTTGTTTTAAATACTGTCACTTCTTGGTCATGGGACAATGTTTGTAGAGAAAGCTGCTATATCTCTAGGTCTGTTCAGTCAATTGACACCCCCCTCCCAACATTCAGGCAGAACACAAACTGAAGAAATAGCTGAAAAAGAGGCAAACTGAGAGACTAGGTGTCAGTGAACTCTGGAAAGGCTGTGTGATAATCTCTTTCCATGTCCTTTTTGAGAATAAAGATCATAAACACACATTTATTTCTGGAATGGGTAAACATTTATGCTATCTAATGTTGTTTCAAAAAGAAAAAAAAAACAGCAAGCAAAAGCACAGATTTCTCATCATTCTATTGAGGGTTTATATTTTGTATTTTCCCTTGAACAACAGTGGACTAGTGACCTGTGGGAATAACTAGATTCCTTGTGATCTTATTAACGCCCAAATTAAGCTTTTATTCTGTACCAGGAATATTTCTATAAAGACCAGCTAGTAAATATTTTTGCCTTTAGGGGCCATATGTGGTCTCTAAAGCAGCTACCCGACTTAGCTATTGTAGTGTGAAAGCAGCCATAGATGACACATGTGAATGAGCATGGCAATAAAACTTTGTTGAGACACATTGAAATTTGAAGGTCCTACAGTTGTCACATCACACACTATTTCTCCTTTTGATAATTTATTTTAGTTAGTTATTTATTTATTTTCCTGACGATTTTTTTTTAAAAGATTTTATTTATTTATTTGAGAGAGAGAGAATGAGTGATAGCACGAGAGGGAAGAGGGTCAGAGGGAGAAGCTGACTCCCCGCTGAGCAGGGAGCCCGATGTGGGACTCGATCCCGGGACTCCAGGATCATGACCTGAGCTGAAGGCAGTCGCTTAACCAACTGAGCCACCCAGGCGCCCCTTTCCTGACGATTTAAAAAAACCTAAAACTATTCTAGCTCTTGGGCTATAGAAAAGCAGGTGGTGGGCCAGATCTGACCTTTAGGCCGTAGTGCTGATCCCTGTCCTCTGCTGTCTTACAACCCAAGCTCGGTTTCCAGAGGTGCTAACTATTTGAGAGAAGATTAGACTGAACTTTATGTCTTGTGCTGCCTTTGAAAATAAGTACCCAGACGGTTAAAGTTGTTGAATCCACAAGTTACACATCCTGCCTCAAGCACTTTGAGAGCTTCATCCTCAGTTAAGTGTTCAGGGATCTCTGACATTTCAAGACATGACAGGAAGACCCAGGCATAAAAATGCAATAATAAAACTCTGGGAGAGGCATACAGAATATGTTTTGGAGGCCGGGATGAATCTTTGTCCCAACAGGATATCAGAAGTTTTCATGAATACGTGGTGGGGTTGAGAGTGGGGGTGGGAAGGTGTTCTAAGTATAGAGGAAGAAGAGCAGGACTGTCGAAGGGTTCCTGCCAGCCATTTGGTTCTCAGCAGTCCTGCAAACGTCCTGATTTGTAGAATAAGCACCCAGGGCTAGAGCAAAGCTAAGTGATCAAAAGAGGCAGAAATATAACTCTCACTTGGCACAGGTCTCTGAACATATTGTAACAAGTGAAATGTGCTCCCCAAAGCATGGCTCCGATTTATCCTCTATACAAGCACATTCATCATAACACACACAAATCTCAAATTCCACTTAATTTTAGTAGATACATACAGGAACATAATCAGTCTTATTAAAAATGATTCAGTTAGCTTTGTGATAAACAGACCTCCTATTAAATTACCTTTACCTGTCTACCCCAGAATAATTAGTATATAAAAGACCCTAAAATCCTAATGCAATAGGCTATTCCTCCAAGATAGTTGGATTATTTTAACTGTTTGCATGTGTGCAAATGCACAGATTTTTGTTTTGTTTTGAAAATTGGTATACCATGCATCTGTTTGGTGGTTTCCATACTGCCCTTTTGAAATTATTCTGATCCCAGTCTATGTGACTCATTTCTCTTCATAATGGTGGTGGATTTGGACACTAGCAGGTAAATGCACACACAATTCAGGGAATATTGTTAACAGAATTCATAGCAATAGTTGGTATTAAGCAATTTTCTGAGTGTCTTTGATTTTTTTTTTAATGCAACCAGAACATTTAGCAAAACTAGTAGTCTTGAAATTTAGGTGGATGCCTCAAAGTAAAACTTAATTATTTTCTTTCTCTTTGAAACATGTTTAAAGAACTGAATGTTTATAATGCTGGTGTTAGATGCTTCATATTGTTATTTTTTTTTAAGCTCTGAACTTTGGGTGACCTTTTGTCATAGCCTTTTAGGATTCTGATAGACTGAGGTTATTTTGAAAAAATAAGATTTCGTTTTTTTGTAGTGTCATAAAGATTCTGCATATTATGCAGGTAAGATTACTCTTAAATTTTAGGAATTTACTTTAGACTCCTTCTAGGTCTTCAGGTCAATTTATTTGTCCTAAGCTTTTTAGAATCGATGACTTTATCTTTTCCCTTGGAACTTCCACTAAAAGAGTAAACCATTAAAACACACACACACACATGCTAAGACAGTGGGACAAATTTACCCATGTAAGTTTATTGAGTAGTAATGGTTTATTAAATTTAATTTTGTCTCGTTGAGCCTACATGCCTTCAGTCACCTGCGTTCTGGGGCCGGCCAAGGTGGGGGGGGATGGTTGTTTTATTACCATGATTAATTTCCTCTGAGACTTTCCTATCCCCATCCCTTATCCTCAATTAAAATCCGGTGATTGAGGTGGAAGCCAGGACAAGAATTGGGAGCATAAATCTTTACCTTCGCGATTTCACTAGCTAGACACAGGCCAACCTATAATGGTGTATAGGTCCAAAACCAAATTTTTATGCCGAATCACAGTTTTCAAAATACATCTTCAAATTAATGACCATGTTAAATGAATAATGGAAATTAGGTTAAAATTTGAGGATTTCTGGGAATAATGACTGTGCCTGTTTCCATTTTTGGATGCAAAGAGGAGGGAAGAATTAAGGGCCCATGATAAAATTCTGCCCTCCAATGTGTTTATGGGCTAGTTTTAGGAAAAGGAAAAGTGGCTCGTTGTCCCTTTGGTGTGAGTTTAGAGACACCACCTTTTCTTAAGTACTTGAAAGCCTATTCAAATGTAAATATCTTCAGGAATAGTAACATCTAAACCTTCAGTCATTTAACAGGGAGATAAGGGTAATGGGGGCAGGCACAGGTCTGAGGCTCAATGTCAGCCCTGGGGAAACACACTGAAGCTCTCTGGAGGGCATTCTGAGCTCACACTGGAGTTGGCCTGGCTCAGTGTTCTTAGGTCCAACTGTGTGTACCCTATAGGGGACTCCCTTTGATTCTGAATTACAGATAACAAACTCCCAGTTTCTCAGAATCCTGCTACCCTGGGGGCTGATCTACTTTATTTGCAAGCTGTAAGCTCTTGTGACTAACTGGGAGAATGGATTTCCTACTGAAATATAGTTGGAGACCACATTAGAGCTGCAGTTTAATGTCATTAGCACAGAAGACCCCCTCATACGAGGGGCATGCTGTAAATTAGTTCAGAATTGAGGATTTCACCCAACACCTTCAGCTGTGGGGGGGTACTAATAATCCCTGTAACATG